CAATCCTACTTCCGTAGTGATACTGCCTCGGAAACCCAAGGAGGGGTCGCTATGAGTCGGGGCCGACTCGACGGCAAATAACAACAACAACAACAAGAAACTAAGCCACCTAATCTCATTGATTTGAATTGTGTCCCCCAAAAATGTGTCAACTTGGTTGGGCCATAATTCTCAGTGGTTTGGCAGTTAAGTAATGATGTAATTATATCTTCCATGATGTGGTCTGATGCCATTATCCTATCTGTTGTAGATCCTAATCTCCATGATGTTAATAAGTCAGGATTAGAGGCAGTCATATTAATGCGGCAGATTAGGTTGTATCTTGAGTTAATCTCTTTTGACATATAAAGGAGACTAAACAAGTAAGCAGAGAGAGAGGGATGTGACTACTACCAAGAAAGAAGAACCAGGACTGGAGCACGTCCTTTGGACTTGGTCCCTGTGCTGACAGCCTCCTAGACGCAAGGCAAGATTGATGCCAAGACAAATGGAAATTTCCAACAGAAGCTAGCCCCACAGGTGTTGGAAAGAGACAAGGACCTTCCTTTCCCCAGAGCCAACAGAGAAAGAAAACCTTCTCCTAGAGCTGGCACGCTGAATATGGCCTTCTAGCTTCCTAAACTGTGCCAGGATAAATTTCTTTTTCTTAAAGCTGTCCACTTGTGTTATTTCTGTTACAGCAGTAGGAGCTCTGGTGGCGTAGTGTCTAAGGCATTTCACTGCTAACCAGAAGGTGGTGGTTCAAACCTATCAGCCACTCCTTGGAAGGAAGATTGGGCAATATACTTCCATAGTGATACCACCTTGGAAATTCAAGGAGGGGTCACTAGGAGTCGGATCTGACTCGACGGCAGTGCATTTGGTTTTGTTTTTTTCAGAGAACTAAGACACTTAGTGGTTCTACAACTGACGCCAATGGAAGCAGCAGTCAAGACATCAGACGACATACAGCACTGGGCAAATCGGCTACAAAGGACCCTCTTTCAAGTGCTGAAGACCAAAGATGTCTCCTTGAGGACTAAGGTGCACCTGACACAAGCCATGGTATTTTTTATCATCTCATATGTATGTCAGAGCTGGACAATGAATAAGGAAGACCAAAGAAGAGGTGATGATTTTGAGCTGTGGTGTTGGCGAAGAATGCTGAAAGTACTGTGGTACTAAAAGAACTAACAGGTCTGTCCTGGAGAAGGCGCAGCCAGAATGCTCCTTGGAGGCAAGAATGGCCAGATTTTGTCTCACATACTTTGGTCATGTTAGAAGGGACCATTCCCTGGAGAAAGATGTCATGCTTGGTAAGGTGGAGGGTCGACGAAAGAGGAGAAGGCCCTCAATGAGTTGGATTGACATGGTGGCGATGGCAATGGGCTCAAGCATAGTAAGAATCATGGAGCTGGCTCAGGACCGGGCGGTGTTTCATTCTGCTGTGCATAGGGTCGCTATGAGTCGGAGAAGACTCAATGGCACTTAACAACAAGAACAAGACACTTAGTAACTACTCCCATCCCAAGGGATCTATTGCCTATTTAAATACTATGAATTATCCATTGAAAATTTGTTTGAACTTTTTAAAGGTTCAATTAAAAAGTTTAATTTGAGGAGAGTAAGGAGGGAGGAATAGGAGCTCTGGTAGCATAGTGCCTAAGGCACTTGACTGCTAACCAGAAGGTCTGCGGTTCAAACCCACCAGCCACTCCTCGGAAGGAAGGTTGCGCAATCTACTTCCGTAGTGATACAGCCTTGGAAACCCAAGAAAGAGTCGCTATGAGTTGGATCTGACTCGACAGCACGTAACAAGAAGAAGAAGAAGGAGGGAGGAAAGGATGTGTGTGCATGAACTGACTTTAGACACCCTGGCTCCTTGCAGGTCTGCAGGAACTGGCCTTGGCCAGTCTCGCCCTTCTCTTGCTCAGTCTGCTCTTCCCTGTGGCGCTCGGCCCACAGGACTCTTGACAGTCTGGGCTGGCTTCACCTCAGTTTGGGGCCACCCAGTCCTTCATGAAGAGCACGGACCCTTCAGACACTAAATGAAGGAACCACACAGAGTGTGAGACTTGGGGATAAACCCTTTTTTGTCTCCAGAAGGAGATAAATTTGGGGTGATGCCTCCACCTCGGATTCCTTTCATGAGTGAAATATTCCATGTGCCGAGAGAACTGCTTTGACTCAACAACTAAAAGAGCTCCTCTCTGGAGGCGACATTTATTTTTCCAAAGGTGAAGAAATGAGCTCTGAGTGCTTCTCAAGAGCAGGAGTGACTCAGCAGCAATTTTACTGAGACTTTTCTGGGGACTCATTACAGTTAAATTTCCATACACCTGATGGTGCTCTAACTGGGATGGAAATTTACCAGCCCATAGGAAAGACAAACCAAAATTTTATGTTGTTGTTGTTATGTGCCGTTGAGTCGGACCTGACTCATAGCGACCCCTCTTTGGGTTGCCGAGGCAGTATCACTACAGATCACCCAACCTTCCTTCCAAGGAGTGGCTGGTGGGTTTGAACTGCCAGCCTTCTGGTTAGCAGTCAGATGCCTTAGGCACTATGCTACCAGAGCTCCTAAGATTTTATGAGAGGCACAATTATCTGAAGTCATGTAGAGCTGACTTCTTGAGAATGGTATTTGTACAAGTTCAGGCTTGCTGTTCAAAGAGCATTGTTCAGTTTGGAAAATATAATACCAAAATATTATGAAAACCACATATATGAATATAAAGAAAACAAAAACCCTTACAACTGGACCAACAATCAGCATCACAATAAATGGAGAAAAGACTGAAGCTGTCAAAAACTTCATATTACTTGGTTCTACAATCAATGCCAATGGAAGTAGCTAGCAGTCAGGATATCAGACTACATATACCAAAAACCAAACTCACTGCCGTGGAGTCGGATCCAACTGCAAAAGACCTCTTTCAAGAGCTGAAGAGCAAAGATATCTTCTTGAGGACTAAGGTGCGCCTGACACAAGCCATGATATTTTCAATTGCCTCAAATGCATATGAGAGCTGGACAATGAATAAGGAGACTGAAGGAGAATTGATGCTTTTGAGTTGTGGTGCTGGTGAAGAATGCTGAAAATACCATGGACTGCTAAAAGAACTAACAGGTCTGTCCTGGAAGAAGTACAGCCTGAATGCTCCTTGGAAGCGAGAATGGCCAACCTTCGCCTCACCTATTTTGGTCATGTTGTCAGAAGAGACCATTCCCTGGAGAAGGATATCATGCTTGGTAAGGTGGAGGGTCAACAAAAAAAGGGAAGGCCCTCAATGGATGGATAGACACAGTGGCTACAACGATGGGCTCAGGTATAACGGATCGTGGAGCTGGCACAGGACCGGGCGGGGTTTCGTTCTGCTGTGCATAGGGTCGCTGCGAGTTGGAGATGACTCGATGGCACCTAACAACAACAAAAGCTTCCAGCATCACAGCAACACACAAACCACCACCATACGACAATCGGACAGATGGATGGGTGGGATGATCCCTAAAGCCTTTTTGAATTCTGACATAAGTGAACTCACCTTGTTAGATAGAGAAACTAAGACATTTCATGTCCTTTATAAACCCATTTCCATTATACCACTCAAGGTCAACCAAACCAAAACCCCTTGCTGTCGAGTTGAGGCTGACTCATAGTGACCCTATAGGACAGAGTAGAACTGCCTCATAGGGTTTCCTGGGCTATAATCTCTATGGAGGTCGACTGCCCCATCTTCCTTCCTTGGAGCATCTGGTGAGTTCAAACCGCCAACCTTTCACTTAGTAGCTGAGTGCTTAACCACTGCACCACCAGCACTCCTGCAAGGTCAACATTTCTCTTTTATTACCGCCAACATGCCAGGCTCTGTGCTGGGCACTGGCGCACAGAGCTGAACAGCACACGTCCTGTGTTCACAGTATTGACTTGTGGGGGCCTCTGTTGTTATTGTTACTAGTCTTCATTTTTCAGAACAGTGTTAGATTTACAGAAAAATTTAGGAGATAGTATAGTTCTTATTCTTGTATAGGAGCTCTGGTAGCCTAGTGACTAAGGCATGTGCCTGCTAACCAGAAGGCTGGCGGTTCAAACCCACTAGCTACTCCTCAGAAGGAAGGTTGGGCAATCTACTTCTGTAGTGATACTGCCTCGGAAACCCAAGGAGGGGTGGCTATGAGTTGGATGTGACTCAATGGCAGTGAGTCTGGAGTTTTTTTGGAGAATTCTTGTATATCACACGTGCAGTTTTCTCAATTATTAACATTTTACATTAGTATGGTAAGGAACCCTGGTGGCACAGTGGTTAAACCTTCAGCTGCTATTTGAAAGGTCAGTGGTTTGAACCCACCAACTGCTCTGTGGGAGAAAGATGTGGTTTCCATAAAGATTACAGCCTCCTGCTCTACTCCATCCTATAGGTGCTATGAGTCAGAATTAACTCGATGGCGATGGCGTACATCAACACATTAACCAAAAATCCAAACTCACTGCCTTGGAGTCGATCTGACTCAAAGACCCCTCCTTGGGTTTCTGAGGCAGTATCACTACAGAAGTAGATTGCCCCATCTTCCTTCTGAGGTGTGGCTGATGGGCGTTCACCAGCCTTCTGGTTAGCAGTCAAATGCATTAGGCACTATGCCACCAGAGCTCCTAACAACACATTAGTCAATGAGCCAATGAGCCAGTATTGATACATAAAGGAGACCCTGGGTGGCGCTTACCTGTTAACCCCAAGATTGGAAGGAAGTTTACGTTCAGCCTAAAGGCCTGGCGACTCGAGGGCACATAACAACAACAACAACATCACTTTTAAAAAATCAGTCATTGAAAACCCTATGGAACAGTTCTATTTGGATAAATATAATCGTCTTAAGTCGGACTCTACTTCATAGCAATCAGGAAAAAAAAAAAAATCGCTAGCACAGCTCTTGTCACTTTCGCACCGTGTAGCTGGGAAAGCAGTGGATTTCGGGTGAAAAAAAAGTAAGATTTAAGCATTTTTCTAAGTCAAGTAGAAGTCACTTGTTTCCTTGTCCTTAAAATAGGGGAAACCCTATGTTTTGCAGTATTTCGTGAGATATATGTAAGATACTGTGGGTGTGTAAGGAACGTCTGCTATAATTTTTTTTTCTCGCTATAGTTTGTGAATTAGGGTAAACCGGATAAAGAGACACGGAACCATCTCACACATTCCTGAAGAAGCAACCCGAAGTCCTTTGGGTTGTGTCGTCTCCGAGGAAACCTCCAGAACATAGAACTCAGTTCCTAGAGGGACCTTCCATTTCCCACTTCCGCTCGTCAGCCTAAAATCGCGCCTGCGCGCTGCGTTTCTTCCTTTCTGTGCTCCGAGCCACTTTGCGGAGATATGGTGAGTGTCCCTTCCCTCCACGGCCTACTTCTCCATCTGCCCGCATCTGCCCCTCTCTTGGCGTCGTCGCCCGAGGTCCCCTTCTGCTCGCCGCCCCCAGCCTATACCCTCCCAAGCCTTCGTGCCTCCCTGCATTCTGAGACACCCTTCTCGCTCTGGGACGCCGTCCAGGGCCTGGGCGCCTTGGCGGGGTCTGCCCCATTCGGGCTACTTTAGCGGGCGCCCTCGGAACACGGCTCCTGCCAGGGGCCCTGGTTTTGCCCTGCCCTGTTGGGAGATTTAGGGAGAGGGTCTGTAAGTTTGTGTGGCGGCCTTAGGACCTGGGAGGTGGGGCCTCTGTACCTGATCCCAGCTCTAAATACGCCTGGTGTCTTTGTTCGCTCCTCCCTCTATCAGGCTAAACGGACCAAGAAGGTCGGGATCGTCGGTAAATATGGGACGCGTTATGGTGCCTCGCTCAGGAAAATGGTGAAGAAAATTGAAATCAGCCAACATGCCAAGTACACTTGCTCGTTCTGCGGCAAAGTAAGGCGGCCTCGAGGGGGCAGGACGGGAAGGGTGTCACTTCCAAAGAGAAGCCTCTCTTCAGGAAGTTAGTGATCAGTGCCGTTAGAATCGTCCATACCATTCATTACCTGTTATGTGATCATACATAATAAAACAAACCCACTGCCTCCGAGTCGACTCCGACTCATACCGACCCCCGCTGCGTTTCCGAGGCGGTCAGTCTTTACAGAAGTGGATTGATTGCTCAGTCTGCCTTCCGGGGAGTGGCTGGTGGGTTTGAACCGCCAGACTTCTGGTTAGCCGTCAGATGCTTTAGGCACTGTGCCACCAGAGCTCCGTTGTGTGATCATAGAGTATTGATAATAACTCTAAATTTTGTGAACTATTTTTCAAACAAAACCGATTAGGAGGCAGAGGATAAAATAATGTGGCAAAGAGTCCCAGCCTAAGGCAAACCTGCCTCGCGGAAAAGATTTTGTATAGTTTTGTCAACTGGTGGTTAAATGTACCAACTCCCAAGAGTTGCTGGCCTTGACATCTGACATCCTGCTTGTGTGGCTGGAGATCTGTGTAATATTTGAATGTTTACTGTGCGAAAGTGTGTGTGACAACAGTCCTTGCTGTGTTTTTGTTTTAGAGGAAGGGGGATTCTTCCACATCCTTGGCAGCGTTGGTTGCCACGGTGAATGCACATTTTCCATTAGTGAACTTTGGGGGATTGGAAGTATATAGAACCTCATGAAACACACCAGCTGTAGGGTTTTTGTGTACTTCAGGCTCTTGAACGTGTGTAAGGTAAAAGGCGTTTGTTTGGTTCATAGGGAAAATTGACCTTCTTTTACAGACCAAGATGAAGAGACGGGCAGTGGGGATCTGGCACTGTGGTTCCTGCATGAAAACGGTAGCTGGCGGTGCCTGGACCTACAAGTGAGTCCATTTTTGGGTGATCCTTGGAAATGTGTGGTCCGCATAGGGCCACATCTCGGGCTTGACACTGGATGGGCCAGTTTTTAACTCCTCTTCCTTGACTTCAGGCTTGACATAGCCATGGTTTTTTTTGGGGGGGGGGAGCTCTTGAGAGGTAAAAAAAAAAAAAAAAAAACTAATTTTCAGTCCTTCAAAGAATAGAAATAAAATGAAAGTCTGATGCCTGTAGTACTTTTGGGGTTTTGTAGATCCACTAGGGGGGTTGTGAATATTGTGATTCTGTGCAGATCTGTTAGGTGGGATAGAATCTATCTGCACTGAGCCTTGACTTGGATTGAAACATGCTTTTAATAATAATAATAAAACACACCTGTTAGTCACTTAGCCTGTAAACAGTATTTGTTTGGACTTCTTCAACCTTGAGGCGTGACCAGAAGATGTTGCTGAAACTTGGCCTGTGCTGATTCTTCTCTTTACCCATTTCTGGATCTTGGAGGTACTCTTGAAGGCCTCTTGATCTTGGGATTCATTGCTGACCATAAAGTCTTAGAGAGTCCTTTTGAAAGGTTTTTTAGTTGATCTAAGTGATTGATTTAAACACTTATGGGGTATTTTTTGAGAACAAAATGGACAGTGGGGACTAGGGTCTTCTCTTGGTTTTGATAGTAGAATGAGTATTTATATACTTGATGGTATAGAATGGTTATGTGTTTCAAGTACTGTTTTTGAATCTTTTTTTTTTTAATCTGTAGCCACTGTAATAAATCCCTTCTTAAAATGTAGTCTCCTACTGCCTCAAACATTGTGTTTTGTTAACTCACTTTTGCACAAGCTTATAATTTAGTAAGTAGTCTATTCTGATACACAGTGTGTTCCTTTTTAGTAAGTTTAGGTTGGCCCCAGAAAACCATTCTACCCTGTTCGTATTTTTATGCTTTGATCTCTGAGCAGGCAGGTGCATGAGATCGGCCGTGTCTGCAGGGGCCTGATGATGTGGCTGCTAAGAATGGTGTCACGGGGTTTGGGAGCTATTAATCTCTGGTGTTGGTTGAATTTTAAGATGAACAGAAGCAAAATTTTGATAGACCTAATATCATTGTTAAAACTGAGGGTCATGAGTGGAAATTGAAAGAGAACTCAGTGAGATCATAATGTGAAAGTGAGGCTGTTACATGCATTTGTACATTATGTTTCCGTAGCTTCCTGTATTGGAAACTATATTTGTTTTCTTTCCAGTACCACCTCTGCAGTCACGGTAAAGTCTGCCATCAGAAGACTGAAGGAATTGAAAGACCAGTAGAAGCTCTACCATTGGAAACATCTCTAGCCTGTAATAAATGGGTTCATTTATGTAATGGTGCCTAGGTTTGTTTTTAATTGTATTGATTTTATGTTGTTCTTGCCGGTTCTACTTCTTTGAGATAAATTACATAAACTTTTAATATCTTGAGGTTTTTTGCTATTTGGTTGAACCATATGATGAAAGTACCATTTTGTGGGTTAAATTTCTGTTAATGTTCTACCTACCAAAAAAACAGCAAATTCATATGGGCCAATGTTAATATTTTTAAGGATCAGAGCTCTAATGCCACTAATCTTGCTGTAAGCTGTGCAGAATATTTTTCCCATACTGCCAATCCCCCGACTGCACTCTTCCCCCATACTTCTCCAGGCCTTAATGTTATTAAAACTATAGTTATAGTGTTTGTTTTGTTTTGTTTTTTAAATTACTGTTCATATTTTGCTTTAAAGTTTCTAAAGGCAGGCTAACATACTGCTTTTTTACTTTGGGTGGTTTTGTTTGGCCACACACTGTCAGCATCTTCGAAAAATAATTTTAAACACAATTTTGGGACAGATTTTACAAATAAGTCTTTAGTTTAGACACTAGGATTCACAAGATTAATGACTCGAGTGTATATAGTTGGACAGTGGTTTCCGTTCCCCCCATACTATCAGAAACTGAAGTTCTTTGGAGGAATTGAAGAGTTGAAGGTGACCTCTGTTACTTAGTCCCTATCTTGATTGTCAGTTTTTCTTCTTTGCAGCCCTGTCAGTTACCATTTGTGGTACAGACTTCTCAGTAGCCTCCTAACTGTGGGCCTTTCTCTACTCCAAAACCAGAATAATTCTTTCAGAGTGCAAATCTAATCTGATAAAACCTGGCTTTTTTAGCCCTTTACCTGTTGCCTTCGAGTCAGATCTGACTCATGGCAACCCCATGTGTTAAGAGTAGAGCTGTATGTACTGTTGAGATTTTTGCCTGTATTTGTTATGGAAAGATTGCCAGGTCTATACTGTGGCACCACTGGGTGGGTTTGAACTATTAACCTTTTGATTGATTGCACCAACTAAGCATTAGGTGGCTTGTTGCCATGATTAAGGGTGCAAACTCAAGAGTGACTGACTTACATAGTTTACTTAATGTCTGCTTCAGTTTCCTGAACAGTGCCTGATATGAGAGTGTGGAGTATTGTGTTGGAAGTTAAGATTACTAAATTCATCTGGGGTCTTTAAAAAGTTCTGTGTTGCCTAGCTTAGGAATTTGAACTCGATTCTTCAGGCAGTGGGAACCGTTAGATATTTGTAAACATTGGGGTGCTGTTTAATATTTGCTAAGCCATTTCAGTGTTTCAGTCCCTGTTTACAGGTGAGGAAGTTAGGTTACCTGTAAATGATAGAACTGAGATTTGAGCCCATGTACACTTAGTTCCAGAGCTTTTCATCCTAGACATAGTGATTTTAACATACATACTTTTTTTTTTTTCAATGATAGTTGAAGTGGGGGGCAGAGGACAGACTGATAGTGGAAACCAATTAGTATACTGTTGAAATAATGAATATTTTTGTATCTAAGGGAATAGTGACTTACCAGTGTCACAGAGAGGCAGATTGCAGAGGTAGGACTGACAATTAGGTTTCTGACTCCTGGTCTGTGTTTTCCCACTGAATTGAGCTGTGGGCCCATTGGGTATTTCTCTTCCTACTCTGCCTTTTTCCAGACTACATATCCACCTGCATTGTACTTTTAAAAAGCAACACCATTCCCAGCCTTATTTTCAGCAATGACTTTCTGAGTCTTTGCTCATGTTTGTTGATGGAACATGGCATCAGGATGTAAAGATGGATATGCATGTATTCCTTGTTAGGTTGAGTTCACAGACCATCTTACTATATCCTAAATACTCACGTAAGTGCTGAGATGAATGCATGTACAGAGAGCCAAGACAGGAGCTCATGGACCTGCATAGATGTTTTGCATTTGAAGTGGAGGGAGGGGCTACTTGAGCTGTGTTTCAAGGTTTATCAGCTAAAGGTGAGGGCTAAGGAAAAGTTCTGGAGCCAAGAGCTGACAAGAATTTGAATGCAAAATGGACCACATTTGGGTGTTTTTCTGTTCCATATTTATTGGGTAACCTTTTATGGCCGTCCATTTTGAGTGGAGCCGGGAGAAATAAAAGGCTGCGCAGCAAGTCCAGGTTGCCCTGTCACTTGATTTATGACCTTGCAGATTCGAATAGATTGGAAGGTGTCAGAGTTCTCTGGTGCTGCTATGACGGAAGTACCGTAAGTGGATGACTGAACAAATTTACTCTCAAGAGTTTAGGAGACTAGAGTTCAGGATGTTGGCTTTTGGGGAAGACTAAGCTTGAACTCCTGAGTTCAAAGTGCTGGCTCTAGGGGCTGGATGAAGGCCACTTGACCTTGGGCTCTGCCTGTTGCAGGCCCACTGGAACAGTCTGGAGGCTTCTGCCTCACCACGGCTGACAAATCTAAAGGTTGGGTGAAATGGCAGATTATGGGCTCACTGGCTGTGTAGGTAACAAGGTTGGCAGGCCACTGGTTCAAGTCCAGGAACTGGAGATGAAGACTCAACCAAATGCAGGATCCTTTCTATATTACAAGCAGGCCACACCACAAAGGCAGTACGGTGTTAACTAATAAGCTGCTCACAGTACCTTCCACCATGAGGCAATTACATCACATCCAATCTCATTATGCAGAACAACTACATCTGGCTGCCAGGCCACTCAAAAATCATGGCCTAGCAAGGTAACACAGTCTTTGCTACAGAAGGGTTAGTTGGCAGACAGAGATACTTGAGTCCCAGAAGAATCAGTGCTTTAGGGGTTTGGAGTAAATCGCCTCTCCTGGTAAAATGTATTATGCATTGGAAGAAGAGTGCTAGTTTGCTGTTGGGCCCTGGTGGAGATCAAACACCAGAATGTGAAATACCAAGTTTCTATGCAACTCAAACTGCCCATCATAAACTTGATGTTACTTGATCTATAAAACCAGATTGATTCCATTCCAAAATGGAAACGGTATCAGCAGAATTGGACCAGAGAAGTTGCAGAAAGTGTAAGTAAACTGACCTGGCAGGCAGTATGGATTCCCATTGATAAGTTCCCATAGTATGTATAAGGTTAATGTGCTTGTGCAGCTAACCAAAAGGTTGGCAGTTCAAGTCCTCCCAAGATGCCTTGGAAGAAAGGTCTGGTGAGCAACTTCCAAAAGCCACTGAAAACCCTATGGAGGAAAGCTATCAGTATAGATTCAAGAGTCCCTGTAAACGTAGGTTTTGTCGCGTAAGAGCTGACTCGTAGCAACCTTATGTACAATTGAACAAAATAGTCCTGTGCTATCCTTACAATCTCTACCATGTAAGTGTGAGGTGCATCCTCCTTTCCGAGGAACGTTGTGACTGTACTTCTCTCAAGTCAGATCTTGGAAGCATCTCAGCAATACCACAGTCCAACAAAGTGACAGAGAAGTGGTGGTGTAAACCTTTGGCAAAATAAATACAAGGAAAATCCCAACTAAGAAGATCGCAGTACTACAGAAAACCAGAGGCAAGGAAGATACTAAAATGAGCTAATACAGAGGAGAGGGGAGGAGCAACAGCGACAGGCCGCAGACTTCTTAAGCACAGTGGAAGTTCACGTACGATAGGTGTGTATCTTCAGAGTGCTTCAGATTTGCTTAGTGGCCATATCATTCAATATCAAAGAAAAAGACACTTTCAAACAAAACATGGGGAATTTATTACTAGCAGACCCCCACATCAGGCAGAAAGTAAACAATCCCAGGAGGAGACTGGAAGATGGAAGGAATAAAAAACAAGAAGGGGAAATAAGTAAATGTAAGCAAATATAGACTATAACAATGTCAATTTGGGGGGTAACACAAGTATATTTCACAGCACACAGGTAAGGCAGGAAGGTAACTGGAGCTAAAGCGTTCTAAGTTTTCTGTGTTCTGGGAGACCCCAAAGGCAGATTGTAATTTCCATAATCATTAAAAGGACAAAAAGAATGTAAAACTAAAAAATACAGTGGAAATAATGCATTCACAAAAAGGATTGATAGTACAAACAGTACATTGTATGAGGGTTTATTTAAACATACTGTATACAAATGTGTATGTATATGCCAGTAATAACATATGTAAATATCTAGATTAACTGCTTCAATTAGAAGATTACAATTGCATATGAAAAGATGCTCAACATTATATGTCATTAGAGAATTGCAAATTAAAACAATAATGACTGAAACTGCCCCCATAGGGTATCCTACCCTTACGGAAGCCAACTGCCACATCTTTCTCCTGTGGGTCATCTGGTGGGTTTACCAACTTTCCAACTGAAAAGCAGCCGAGCACTTACTCATTGCGCCACCAGGGTATTGCGTAGCTAAAAAATAAAAGCCATACCAAATACTGGTGAGGCTGTGGAGCAACAGGAACTCTCATCCGTTGCTAGTGGGAAGGCAAAATGGGCTAGTACAATGGTACAGTCTGGCAGCTTCTTAAAAAGCTAAACAGTCTTAGCATACATCTCCTGGACACACTCCTAGATAGTTGCCCAAACGAGTTGAAAACTTAAGTCGACACAAAGACCTTCACATAAGTGTTTATAGCAGTTTTATTCATAACTGCAAAAATCCAAAGCAAGCAAGGTGCTCTTCACAAAGTGAATGGATAAAGAAATTGTGCTCTGTCCATATAATAGAATGTTATTTTGCAATAAATAGAAACGAGCTACTGAGCCATGAAAATAGATGGTGGAAACTTACATGCATATTATTTAGTGAAAGAATCCAGTCTAAAAGGCAACAGACTGTATAATTCCAACTATATGACATTCTGGAAAAGGCAAAACTAGCAACAGTAAAAACAAAAGTTCAGGAGGAGGGGAGAAGAATGACTAGGGAGCACATGGTATTTACAGGGCAGTGAAGCTGTTCTGTAGCTCACCGTAATGGTAGATACATAACATTCTGCACTTCCTGAAACCCATTGGCTTGTGCAGTAGAGAGTGAACGCCAATGTCAGCCATGGACTATGTTGTTGT